CGGACGTAGTGCAATGTCCAGACGCCGTGAAGCAGTTATTTTGTCAAAATCCGCGGATGCAAGGCCCTCTAATCTATACTTTGGATTAGGGATCCTAGTAGAGATGAGTGTCTAAGTCGTCTAAGCGCGTGTTGAATCTAGACATACAGAGGTTTCTTTTAAGAGGCAAGCCTACAGATGTGGCTAGACGGAGCCGCGCACACTCCGTGGACTTAACTGTAACGGTTGCACAAGTTCTTTACATTGTTACGGTAATGTTGAGCACATAGGAGGGCCGATAGTCATCGAACGTCGCAGACCCATCGATAATCTAATGTTGCATCTGTCCCATCATTGTGCCGTCTAGTCTCGGGTTTACAATGTTGAACCCTCCGGTTGTGATCTGCATGCCAAAATATTTGACTGCAAGGATCCTGAATTACCTGCCCACACATCCTTGCTATCAGAACGAGGCTTTTTTTCTTTTTATTTCCTGCGTAAATAGTTTATTTTTCTTTCTTTTTATAATAAAATAGTATTCTCTGTTTTTGACGAAGCTCCGGATATAGAGCCCTCTACTTACCTTTTTGTTTTGCTAGGAAGTCAAACAAAAGAGGAAAGTTCCTCTGAATCTCGCAGTTTACGAGGATTTCTAAATAATATTAGAGGCAAATAAATATAAAACGGCTTAAAAATTATCCAGAACACCCTAAATATCCCAAACTTACCAAGTGATTTTGCTAGCATATGGAGTCCGACGAACTTCTCGATCAACGCAAACATTCTCAACAAGTTTTGGATGTGGACCGAGTTCGGAAATTTCGTTTTTTTTTTTTTTACATAAAGATCAAAAACACGTACGCGGTATTGCAAATTTATTTTATTGCGTGACGGACATAGCAGCAAGGAGCGGCGGAAACTAAACAACATGAGCGTTAATATTTCTTTTTAGTTGCCTGCGACTCTCGCTGACGCCGTCAATATATACACACAAAAAGACTTCTTGCATTTAGATGCGCGTGCCGCGAAATAAGGCTCCCGCATTTGGTCTTTGGTACAAATACAGTCAGTTCCATGGCAACTTGGTTTATAGGAAAAAAAAAAACCTTTTCTACTGACCAAAACAAAGAAGAGAAAAGGTCAACACATACACGTTTAAACTTGAAACACAGACACAACCATAGTCCACTCTATAGACTCTTTCGCAAGTTTCTGCCTGTCTTCTTCGCGGCGACTTTCAGTCCCTCCGTTTCGGCGAGCGCTGTTCGGGCCAAAACTCCTAGAGTACTTAGAAAGGAGCAAATCCAACTAAGGCGCTATTTGAAGCTCATCTGCCTGTGTCATTCAACACATTGGAGGTGACCGTCGAGCTTCTCCTCGGATGAAAACTCGTCAACTGACCTTAGGCTCTCCCGATCTTACACATAAAGCCCAGGCGAGTTCGGATGAAAATGTTCACTGCTGCCATAGACCAACATTAATATATATATATATATATATAATGTGTTTTGCTCTTAAAAATAATACTTTTTCTAACCTTGCTTGTTTGTTGTGTGGATTCTATACTATCCATAACCGTTGAGTATATAGTTTTAGACCGACCACGTTTATGAGTTATCTTTTTTCGAAAGCTGGACATTTGGCTAAATGTTCAATAATGAGCATTTATTTTAGAAAACACAGTACTACATTTGTTATTAAAATATGATCGAAGTATACTTTGTTTCATTTACTACAAAGACACAGAAGTCTTGTGACTTATTATTGTAGCGTGTTTTTGAAAATAAGGGAATATCAGCTTTTAGGAAATTTTTAACGGATCTACGCCCTTAAAAACGCTCGAAAATACATGAAAAATCATAATTAATAATTTAGAAGATTGCATTGACCTACTAAAAACGTTGTTTACTTCGCAGTCTCGTTTCAAACATTTCTGAAAAAAAAAAAGACTTATTTTACCCCTGGGGCCTGTTTTCCGCAGAATTCAAGGTGTCGTCAAAACATTTAAGAAAGTTATAACAACAGAATATTGTAAAACGCAATTTTAAATCACCAATAACACATGCAATTTTTGTTTAGACCAAATCCGTGAGGGTGGAATTTAGGCCTGGATCGTTTGGCGGGGAATGACCCTATATTGCCGATTTCAAGGAGAGGACGCTGCTTCCCAGAAATGGTCGCCGTCACCAGACAGTCGAACCACTCCGATAGAACAGCAGTAAAATTCCCCTTATTCAGATATTAAGTTCGAGCCCGTCTGCGACAGTTCCCTGAAAGCCAGCTGGTCAGCTGATTAAACTTGAAGAGCAATTATGTTTGCAGGTATACGCCTAACGTGACACAGTCCCGAACCCGTCGCGCGTTGTGGCTCTTCGGGTTCGGCTGAGATCATCAGACCCAAGAGCTTAAAGCATTGTGCGGCAAAACGTGGAGGTAGCCACGTAAATCGCAGGCGTACGTTAGCAGGCACTTCCACGTGCAGGTCGGAAATGCAGAAGGTAGTGCGCTGACTCGCGAGCGATGTCGGTATAGAGGAGACTATGGCTAGCGCAAACCCATCGAAACATGACAAAAGCGACAACAAAACAAACTTCTAAGAAATTCAACATTAATTTTACACCGCTTCACAGGTTACACCGAAAAGAAACAAGTATACAATAGATAAAACGGTAATGACTTGATTGATTGCGCGGGTCTGATAAACATACAAACATATAAGTATACTGAACATTCACCGGACTCGAGGTGACCGAAAGAGGCAAATTAACTTAATATTAAATATATATATATACTCAAGACACTTGAACACAAGAAAGGAACAACTTCAAAACAAGGTTACAATCACCCAGCACCCTCCTTCGGAACTTTGCAGTGTCGGCAGCTCTATGAGTGTTCGTTCTCCTCATTTGGTTTGTCCCTCATTGGTTGCGTATTGTAGAAAGCTTCGGAGTCACAAGGGTAATGAGCCCGGAACCCGAAGCGGGTGCACCGTACATTAACTGTGGTCTCACAGACCCGAAGTTATTATGTATGTTTTCTTGAAGGGAAGAGCTTGACCCCGGACGCTTTCAGTGAACGCAACCAATACAAAACACAGGACCACGGGCAGTATACAACTCAAGGCACATCTCGAAACTTTTACCTCGCCTTGTATTCTGGTAGTTCGTTGTACCAACAAATATATTAAACAACAGCAGTAACACTGGCAAAGTCGTCGCGACGGTACACCGGTTAAATAGGGCACAACCTTTCCGTTTCGAGACTGTTGGCGAGTGTTGCCTTCACCAAAATACCCACTTGTGCACCTGCGGTGGTATGTGCTGCACATTATCGTGAGGCAGCTGTGAGCCTTACAACTTGGGTATTGTGCACTCAAATAAATACTGCTGAAGTGGAAAATGACAGTGTAGTGAACCCCGATCACCGCGCTCAATATGTTTTCTTTTTTTGCTCGCTGTTCGCTCTACTTTTAATTCTTCGGGGCGGAGCAGGCAGCGAGAACGTAAAATTATGAAACTCAGCTTGAAACCCGTCAAATGATTTTCTTGTCCTGTGCAAACAATATATATATATATATATATATATATATCGCCTAGCCTACAAGCGGAATAACGAATGCCACATAACTGTTACAGCAATCTTCCTTCGTCCAAATGCATTGAGAGGGAATATGATAAACGATGAGTGTTTCAGTGGCACTATTCTCCAATTTTGAGTGATATTTGACGCCGTCCCCGGAGCCCCGCGTGCGCCGAGTAGTTTGACGGATCATCGACAAAACGAGGGCAGCGCGCGAGGAGACTAGCAGGAAATACGGGACCTACGGAACTAGTTCTCTAGATTGTTTGTTTTATTTCCCTACGCGCGTCTCATCGTTTCTCTTCCTCCCTTTTTACAAAACCAACAAAATTACGCGCACAGCACTGATATTAGACGGTGCATCTGCGCGCGTTATCAGCGTCTCCCGTTCCACGTCAATGTCGCATTGATATTCCACCAAGTTGATGTTTCGACGACACTATGATCATCCGCAGTTTCCAAAGATAAGAAGCAAGAGTCACCACAATTCAAACCGTGACATGACAAGTGACGCCTGGTTACTGCTCGCAAGTCGTCTCGTTCGACCCGCAGATGAGCTGAGAAACGGACGGTCCCTGCTGCCACCATAGTTATCGAGAGCCGTGGTAAGATCAGCGATCGGCCCCCGGCGCCTACACCAACGCACATCCTCAGAGCGTGTACTTGGGTTCGTAATACAATGGTTGCGGCTGCGGCAGGGCTGGGGACGCGGCACTAGGACTCATGCTTCCCAGGGAAGTCGAGAAGGGCGTTGGGAAGACCTTCCTCTCGCAAGGGCTGCCTCCGCCATGCTGGAACCGCATTCCTGTAAAGATACACGAGACATCGTATTAGCGAGCGGGTCACGTGCTTGAAATTTGTTTGTTGTGAGTACGGAAAGTGGGTGGATGATTTTCAAACGCAACTTGAGCTGATGCCTCTTAATTAGGGGTGTGCGAAGACTGCTTTAAATCGAATAGGGCTGAATCACAGATTTCAGAGCGTAAAAAGACCCCACAAAATACCAACTTTTTTTTCTTCTTTTTTTTTTTTGCGGCGTTTAAGCTAAGTCGAAGCGATATTCGCACACCCCTGCTTTATACACTCTAAGAAAAGCCCGTGCTTTACTTTCCCGCACAACAATCGGAGAGCCAATAACCGCAACTTACGGAGGCAGCTCAGCGAATGACGATGCCGAAACATATGTTTAGACGAAAAGCGCATTCTGAGTTGTGACATTAAGCCATGCAAAACGTCACGCTTGCATTGCTTAATGTCACAACCCAGACTGCGTTTTTTGGTCTAAACATATATTTCGATATCGTCATTCGCTAAAGGGATGCTGAACCGAAATCTGGATTCCCCAAAACACGCGGCAAAAGCGTGCAACGGGATGCTACAAACACCAAAACATCACTCATACAGCGATATCTCGAACGAATGACCGTATTTTAAAAAAAAAAAGAGGCGCATTTGGCAGGAATGTTGACGTCATGTTTCTCCGAGAAGGAGAGGGAACGGCCTCGCGTCTTCTCCGCCTCGCGGCCTTGAGGGAGCGAAGCGAAACGAGGAGTAAACTAGGTATCTTGACGTCACGCGCCTCGTCGGCCTGATTCAATCTCGACTTCTTTTTCCAAAAATACGGCCGTCCATTTGAGATATCGCCTTACGAATGTTGTTGTAGGGATTGTAGCGTCCCGCCTAGATCTGCAGCATAGTTTTTTTGAAATCCAAATTTCGGTTCACCATCGCTAAGCTGCCTTCGTAAGTTGCGGTGATTGACTCTCCGAGTGTTGTGCGGGAAAGTACAAGCACGGGCTTTTTTTAGAGTGTATACTAGGGCTAGTGGTTCGAATTGAATAACTCTGCGTCATTTATAGCCTTCACAAAGCAAGGGCAAGCTACCACATGCCAGCTCTTTTTGCAGTATTTAAATTAGGGACGACGCTGCTCCGTTCAATTGGAAGAAGTATTTGTACACCCATATTTTACATAAAAAACAAAAAAGAGAAGAAGAACAGAGCATAGTGTGGCTATAAGTGGTGCCATTTATTTTGCGGTGAGCGCGAATGATAGGCGTCTCTTTCGCATACACTGCCCAGTGTCATCCTAGCTTCAAAAATATAATTTGGTTCCATTCGTTCATGTTGCCACTTACAAAACACTGTGGCGCTTTTGTGTTGAAAGGCTATTGAAAAAGGTCATCAGATGATATAAAATGTCCATAGCTCTTCATCTGACATTCTCTAGCTTTTCTGTTGACCTTCTTTTGAATATTGGCCCACTTCTTAATAAAAAAATAAAAAAAAAGTCAATATCCTTTTCTCGCCTCCGAGATGCTTTTTCTGTAGCTTTTCAATTGAAAAGCTACAGAAGCTCAAAAAGAAAAAAAAATGCTTTACACCTTAGTTATTTATGCAACAAAGTTTTGGAGGCTTACTACAGCTTTCCACTCTGCTCCAAATTGGCTGCCGTAAAAACAGAAAAAAAAAACGCGATATATTTGTTTTAATATTTTGCATTTTTTTGGGAAATTCTTTTCCTGTGGCATTTGAACGCACTACGTACATCCCACAAATTCACATTAGAGACACACACGAACCCCATGAAGCAGTCAACACCCGAATCACAGTCCCGCTGACTTCTCCAGACCTTTATGTAGCCTACTTTTTGAAGGTAATCATTTGTCCGGTGACTACCTCAGCACTTATTAATACGAAAGCATTAACTGTCCCATGGAGCGAAGCCGTCGTTGTCTGTAGCCGTTGTCTGTAGCATCGAACAACGGCACCTAAATTCCCACTGGCTGAGCGAAACGTCACCTGGGTTCCCATTCTCAATAAAACAAAGAAAAGCAGAGCAACGCAGATGCTTCGTCACGGAAGCCGGCGGGTGCGCTCAAAGTCAAAGCGGACGCGTCTCAGAAATAAAACACAAAGAAAAGCACAGCAACGCAGATGCATCATCACGGAAGCCGGCGGGTGCGCTCAAAGTCAAAGCGGACGCGTCTCAGAAATAAAACACAAAGAAAAGCACAGCAACGCGGATGCATCGTCAATGGAAGCCGTGGAGCCGGCGGGGTTTGCCGCGCCTGCGCAGTGGGGGAGCGCGATGTTACCGCCGGAGCGCCGTGTGGGAAAGGAAGACATGGCGCGCTGCGTGTAGGAATGCTTTGGCATTACTATATGTAAGCAGTCTTAAGTGTCTCTGCAGACTTTTTTAAGGTTCCAAGTATCCGGTCTTCTCAGAAGTCCGTCAAAGGGATAACAGTATTTTGAAGTTCGTGGACCCTATCTCTTACTAAAAACATTGGTACAACTAATAACAATTAGACACAGTCGCGAAAAGCACACCCACAAAAACGACTCCTAAAAGAAATGTTATCGCGTCTCTGCATAGCACCACTCAGGACGAAGGGAGTCAAGGCAGTTGCTCTACTTTAAAATAATTATTTTGTTTTTCTTTACTAGTTGACTAGCTTAATAGGGTCAGTAAAGTGGGTTCACTACGGTTCATCGAACGGCATTTCATCGAAACACGTTTTAGAGGACGGGCACATTTTATCGAACCACGGTTTAGAGAAAGCGGCGCCTCAGTTTAGAGAAACGCCGCTTATCGAAAAGGGGACGCTGTTTAAAAAAGGCTTTCTTCCTTCGCGCGTGTTCACTGGGCCGCGTGTTATACCCATCACCCTCCTCCCCCTCCCTCCCGCTAGGTTCACGCCGCTTCGCCAGCGGCAGTCTGCAGCGGCTCGTTACAAAAATTGAGCTCACCTGACCCATCCGTACACGCCGCTTCGCGGCGGCCGAATTGGCTAAAAGGAGGCTCGTCGCCATTTTCTCTAAACTGGGTTTTTTTTATAAAGGGATTCGAAAAACATGGGTGAGTAAAGACGGCGTGCGCTCAAAAGAGATTCTCTAAACCGCATGTCTCCGCAATAAAATCACTACAGTCACTAACAAAGTGAGAATGGCGCGGCGCGTCTTTCGAACGCCTGGCCTCCAGCACGCGCCCCATGCCTTCCGTCGTGCTTTGACTGCGCGCTCGCGCTCGAGAGGCGCGAGACGCCGAAGCGCTGTCAAGGCTAGAAGGCTCGTGCTGGAGGCGGGACAACAGAAGCTCCTCCCTCTCACCTTGTCAGTGACTACAGAGGAACTTAGTGACTTTTGACATCTAGTCAAGACGCACTGTGTTTCATTAAAAGTCAACAAAAAATCAACAGCTTTTTTTTTTTTGACACTGTCTACAGAGAGTCAACGGAACATTTTCAACACGAAGTAAACGGAACATCTGCAGTCTTTCTGATGACGCTGTCAACAAGAAGCAGCAGAAAAAAATCAACATAGAGTTAATAGAGTCAACAGCTTTTCTTTTGACTCGGACTGAAGAAAGCCATCAGAAACGTTTCAACACAAGATCAACAAACTTTCTATTGGCTATGTCAACAGGAAGTCAAAGTCAACAGAAAGTAATCCAAGCCAACAAGAAGTCAACACGTTTTCAATAAAAAGTCAAAAGTCATTTTTATAGGCGGCATGCAAAGAATCGAACCGAATCATGTTTTTCCATCATCCAACTTCATCTGCAATGGTGGCAGCGGCAGAATGTTCTTATGCTACTATTCATATGATATTCTGTCTCCGCGTGCGTGCGTGCGTGCGTGCCTCTCCCGTGCGTGCGTGCGTGCGTGCGTGCGTGCGTGCGTGCGTGCGTGCGTGCGTGCGTGCGTGCGTGCGTGTTTTGTTCACTTTCACGTCAACATTATGATTTGCCTTTTGCAAGTACTCTTAATAGAGTATTTCGAGCAGGCACAGTGTACCTGCATAACTGCCATCTTTTGCATCCGGCGTTATCGGGTTGGTTAATACTTGCGTTAAAACGGGAGCTGTAGAACTGACGAAGATAAGAGGCTGTTAGATTTGTCGGGGAGTGAAGCCACGACACCGTGCTCGTATTTTGAGTTCCGTCGTTATGCTGAACTGCAGATGCCGCGTGGCTGCTGCCCGTGTCCGTCGGGTAGTGCAGGCTGGAACACTAAACATTCGTGCATATTCGCTAATTATAACCTATGCATGAAATATAGCAATGTTTTCATCGTATTCATATGATAGAAATAGAAGTTCAAAATTTTGACTACGCTTCAGATGACAGCCGAAGCGGCAGAATTAATTCTCTGGGTTCATTTGTACTGCTCTACACACGGTTCAAAACAAGGCACCTGGCCGCCGCCATGTTCTTGCTCGTGTGAACAAGCACGTGCAAGTGTAAGCCTGTCAAAGCTACCTTCACGCACATGCTGCACGTGTTTGCACGCATAGGGCACTAGTCTATAGTTAGGTTCCAACCGCTCTCGATACCAAATATATTGATAAATGAGCGACGTTTAACTGTGGTTAAGAGAAAAGAAGCTGGTCCACGCTAGGCTAAATTACATCACACAACATATTTTACTTGAAATAATACGACTCGTGTATTTTTAAGGTGAACGACTAGTCCTTGAGGAAGGTTGTCAGAATGCAGCGAGCGCGGTGACGGATGGTCTCTTCGTGGCCCCAACGAAGTGGTCTCTTCGTTGGGGCTCGCGAAATTGACTGTAAACGGGTAAATTTTCGCGAAGACCTAACTTTCGCGTATTTTGCGACTTGAAACGTATCGCAAAAGAATTGATCGGCCGCATGTGTCAATCACACTACGGTAAAGAATGAATGGCATATAACTTAAAATCGCGAATATTTGTGCCCGCGAAGTATCACCCAAACTCGCACGTTCCTAAATTTGCAAAATATTGAGTTCGGCGAATAAAGTCATTTACAGTAATTAAATGCT